CTCCCCTCCCGCTCGCCCCCCACCTCCCGAAAAAAATAATTTTTTTAATATATTTCAGTTTTAGTTTTTTCATCTTTCGGTTTATAGGTTTTAAATTTTTATAAGTTCCAAAGTTATGAGTTCGGAGATTTATGTGTTTGGAAGTTTACGAGTTTAGAAATTATAAAGTTTATTGGTTCGAAAGTTTAACGGTTCGAAAGTTTGTGAAATTTGTGGGTTCGGAAGGTTGTCGGTTCGAAAGTTTATGGCTTCATGTTTATTGTATCTAAATTATTTATGAATGCTCTTGAGAAGTTATTTTCCTTACTTTACGTACCAAATACCGAAAAATGGATAAGATTACTACTTGTTTTCCAAGAAAACATTTTCTTGAAAAATATTTTCTTTCCGTTATACCAAACACACCTCTAAAGTGTAATTTTTTACTTCAGACTTATTGGCCTTAAGTGCATGAAATCATTAGTTGCACTTCAGACTTATTTGGCTTTAAGTGCATCTGAAGTACAATTTTTTCACTTTAAACTATATTTTGTAACTTCAGACCCGATAAGTTTGAAATTAATCGTAAAGTGAGTAGGCTTGCAAATTTTTTTACAAAGTGGGTATGAGTTCAATTGCGACCTCAAAACTGAATATAGATACAAAATGTCCGTCTTCAAGCTGTACGGTCCTAGACTCAAACCGAACAATATTAATGGCTGTACTGTTACATTGATTTCAAAAATAAGACTACATCATTAAAACACATCGTTATCAGATTAACTTAACAAAGATAATAACAACTATTCGTCTTTATCCATTCTCTCCCAAATGACTCTTGGCTCATTTTTTATATTTGTTATTCACGTGCCTTACGTAAGATATGACTAAAGGGATAATTAATTGATCTTTTATAAACAAACCTAACAAAGATACTTTTCGGAAGATCACAACTCACAAGTTAAATCCTGAAACTTTACGTGCTTCAGATATGCGTCCTTGCTACCCCCACATCCCCCTCCACCCCTCCCCAAAATAAATAAATAATAATAATTAGTTTTATTAAAGCCGTTGATTTATGAAAAAATACCAAATTGCCCAAATTTTATGAGAGGGAAAATAATAAGTGCCATTACTATCGAGTACATTAACAGAAAGCTACAAAAATCAAACTAAAAAAGAGACAATTCCTCTAAATAATGAAGTATCAAAATTGTCATCTTTTGAATTACAGGCCAACTTACTTCATACCCAAACCTAACACGAAGTATCTTAAATTTGCATTATATTGGAATTGCTTGACAAGAAGATCAGTAAAAATATATGTCCTTCGGACTCTTCAAAAATATTGCACCCAAAGTACATAATTTTTAAAAGACCAAACAAGCACTCGCAACCTTTTTGAAAAGTTCGAGCAACATAGGTGAAAATAGTTCAGTCTGGCTAAGTCTCACTCTTCTCGTAGTCTTGTTCATCACAAACAAATCTCTTCCAAAACCAATGATCCCTCCAGATTTGTTCCATATTTTCAATTGGCAAATTCCTCGTCTCTGGCAATAACAAGTACACAAATGCAGTCATAATAGCAACCCATCCACCAAAGAAGAAGAAAATTCCAGATTTGAGGTGGCAGAGCATAACCAAGAAAGTCTGAGCAATAATGAAAGTGAAAATTAAACCAACAGCCACTGTTATACTTTGTGCTGCTGACCTTATTTCCAATGGAAAGATTTCACTTGGAACTAACCATCCCAAAGGACCCCAAGACAAGCTAAAACCTGCAACATAAATACAAACCAAGATCAAAACCAATAAACCATATCCCTTACTCAATGCTCCTTGATCTCCTAACTTAGCTGCCATTATTCCCCCTATCAACATTTGTGATATAAACATTGTGATTCCCCCCGAACTGAACATAGCTCTTCGCCCGACCTTGTCAACTATCAATAATGCTAAGAACGTCGCGCTGGTGCCTACCACCCCTGTCACTACAGCAGACAACAGTGATGCACTTGCACCTAGGCCTATTGTTTGGAACAAAATTGGAGCGTAGAACGAGATCACGTTGATTCCTGTCACTTGCTGAAAAAATGGTATTGCTATTGACATAACTAGTTGAGGCCTGTATTTACGTTTAATAATTTGCTTGAAGGGGTGCTTCACAGTTTTTGACTTGTCGCTTGCTTTGATGAGATCATCTAGTTCTGTTTGGACGTCGAGTGTACCTCTTACGCGTTGTAGAATCTGCTTAGCTTTTTGATGATCTTTGCCATGTTGAATTAGACTGTTTGCTGTTTCAGGGAGAAAAAGTGCTCCTAATGTTAGAAATGAGGCAGGAGCTGCAGCCATTGCCAAGGAAATTCTCCATCCCCAACCGCCTTTAATCTTTTCAACACCGTAGTTAAGAAGGCTAGCTGATAGAACTCCAATCCCTACACAAAGTTGGAATGCAATATTGAAAGATCCTCTGTACTTGGGAGGTGCCATTTCTGAGAGGTATAAAGGGACTGCCTGCAGCCAAAAGACATTTGTTATGACGTTGGTAACATGAATGAATACATTGTGAAGTTATTTTATCGATATTTTGTACTCTCTTTTTATATAGTGGATTGTTCATCTCTGCCTCTCTGGATGTTGGTCAATGAACCAACTACGATAAATATTTGTGTCTCTTTTGGTATATTTCTCTTTGATTGTCCGATTTATCGTCGTTGAAGGTATGTTTTGTTACCTTTTGCATGATATCTGATTATTTCGATCCCAACATAAGTCTGTCCAGAATATTGTTCAAATCAAAGTACGCAGCTAATTAGAATATATAAAAGGCACATTAATAGGAGAAAGTGTACCTGGTTTGCAAAACCAACCCCGACTCCTAGCAGGACGCGACCAAGTAATAGCATGTAGATATTGGACGCTGCACCTCCAAGGGAAGAACCAATGAGAAATGCTACTCCACCGATTAGAATTGATGGTCTACGGCCAAATGTCCGAGTGATAGGTGAAGCAAAGAAGGAAGCAATTAGGCCAGCAATGTACAGTGAGGAGGTGAAAGAAGTCAGTAGTTGGCTGTCAAATATACAGTAGTTGCTTATTTTGGAGACTTGTTTCATCTTATTATACACATCTGGAAAGAATTTCTTCAGAAACGGCTCCATAGAGATTACTCCACCTTTAAAACACAACAGTAAGTTAGTAAGAACTTGACAGTTTGTCTTTGAAGGACAACAACAACAACAACAACATCCCAGTATAATCCCACAAGTGGGGTCTGGGGAGGGTAATATGTACGCAGACCTTATCCCTACCCTGAGGGGCAGAGAGGCTGTTTCCAAGAGACCCTCGGCTCAAGAGAGCAACAAGAGACAATATATTAGTACTATCAATAGACTCATAATAAATAACATAAAATAACATAAAATAACAAAATAACAACAATATAAGAAATATAGGAAATACGAAAAGGATGGAGAAAATGATGTAAGGTATACTAATATCCAACAGATACAGCCCTGCATCAGTAACTGATTAATAACATCCTAAGACTAATTTAAATGGCTAGTCTCACTCTAGTGCGCTGTAGTAATATTCACAAGCTTCCACCTAACCTACAACTTTAATGCTCGACCTCCACAATTCCCTGTCAAGGACCATGTCCTCAGAAATCCTAAGTCGTACCATGTCCTGCCTGATCACCTCCCCCAATACTTCTTAGGTCTCCCTCTACCTCTCCTCGTGCCCACCACAGCCAGTCGCTCACACCTCCTCACTGGTGCATCAGTGCTCCTCCTCTGAATGTGCTCGAACCATCTGAGTCCTGCTTNCCGAACCATCTGAGTCTTACTTCCCGCATCTTGTCCTCCATGGGGGCCACGCCCACCTTCTCTCGAATATCTTCATTCCTAATCTTGTCCATCCTTGTATGCCCGCACATCCACCTCAACATCCTCATCTCTGCTACTTTCATCTTCTGGATGTGTGTATTTTTAACCGGCCAACACTCGGTCCCATACAACATAGCAGGCCTAACCACTGCTCTATAAAACTTACCTTTTAGTAACAGTGGCACTTTCTTGTCACACAAGACTCCCGTTGCTAACCTCCACTTCATCCACCCCACCCCTATACGATGTGTGGCATCCTCGTCGATCTCCCCGGTCTCCTGAACAACTGACCCAAGGTACTTGAAACTACCCCTCTTAGGGATGACTTGAGAGTCGAGCCTCGTCGTTGTCTTTGAATGACATTAACAGTTGTTTAAAAGTAAAAGTGAATATTGAAAAGAACCTGAAATTCCAATATCATAGCCAAAGATGATTCCTCCAGTAGCAGCAACCATTGATGATAACACCACAAACCATGTAATCCTGCCATTGTATTTGGCAGAATTCTCACTTGTACTTGGCGCAATACCAACTGCCATTTTTTCTCGTCAAATTTAAACTCTATGAGTCTAGAGGTGATTAAGAGTGAAGATTGCGAGCTAAGAATGAGAGCTCTGATTTAAGGAGCATGAATGTATAGGAGTTTAAGGTAAGAAGAATTCCGTCATGACTGCTAATAAATCAACATCAGTAGATAAATTACATAGGTCAATGGGTTGCAACTGGAAGGTGGTATCTACTCGTTGGACTTTAGGGGCATATGACGATTAATGCTGAGTTGAAGTAGTCATGCTTTTGACTTTCTTGTCTTGTTGTGATGCAATGTGGAATCACTCCTTCCAGTATTATGGCTAATATTAGGAAATAATTAATATAGTTCTGAAATTTCTCCCAAAATTTGTTCACCTCATAGAAAGTGGCAAGTTATATGTTCTTTTTCTTTCCTTGTAATAAATGCAAAGAAGAAACCATTACAACTATATAGACTTGGACAACTTTAAGAAGAAAAGAGAATACCCTTAACTTAATTTCTCCGTTTGCATGTTTTCGTCAATACATTGGATCATCAATAAATTGTTCTTAATTGTTAAGGAAAATAATACCTAATATCTCTCAGAATCAATGCGGACTTAGTGTGTACAAAGCAAAATGAATGCAACTGATCCATATAGGTGATATCAACTAGTTGATATTCAGGTTTAGTTATTAATTGTATTAGTTATTGTATACCAGATTATGAATAAGTGCAAAATTAGTTTTAGAGAACCCCGCTTTTTCAAGGGTACATTCTTTGTCTCAGGTGGTTAAGTACACAAACACTGTCATTACCCATATCCAACCCCCATAAAACAAGAAAGTTCCAGACTTGAAGTGGCAGAGCATAGCTAGAAATGATTGAGCTACAGAAAAAAATGAAGAAAATCCTAGTGCTACGGTTATACTTTGTGCAGCTGACCTAGTCTTTAGTGGATAAGTTTCACTTGGAATCAGCCATCCTAATGGACCCCTAGACAGACAAAACCCCACAATGTTAAATGCTAAATAACATCAAAACCAGTAAACTGTACCACTAGTTCAGACAACCATGGTCCCTTAATTTAAGTAGCATTATTGCTCCAAATGAAACATCTATTTATGACACAAACATTTGAATTCCTCCAACTTGAAACAATAATATCCAGCCGAATCAGTCTAATACCAACGAGGAGAGCAAGGTTATATCAGCACCAACAACTCCAATAAACACTGCAGATATATATGCATGAGTGATGCATTTCACCTAATCCAATTGTTCTTAAATAATATAGGAGCATAGAAAGAGATCACTTTAATTGTTGGAAAACTGGGATTGCTATTGATATGACAAGTTGAGGTCTATGCTTCTTTTTTAATAATAATAATATCGGTGTATGGACTCTTTTTTCAGTTGCATTGATGAGGTCATCTAGTTCTGCAGTTTGACTTCTTCTGTTCGTCTGTATAAAGCTCATTTCTTCAAAAATGGTATCAAACTCGTGTATCTAATTCTTTATAAGGTCTGAATACAAAAGAGAAGCAACCATAAGTGTTGATCCAAAGAGTCTGAGGCGGTTCCTGATAGGACCAAACCTATTGTTGTATGTGAAAGTAGACAAGACAAAAGAAAAAAAAAATCAAAAAGAGATGAAAATATGATGTAAGCGCTTACATCGACATTCTTGTGATGTAAGCGCTTACCTCGACATTCTTATGATGTAAGCGCTTACATCGATATTCTTATGATGTAAGCGCTTACATCGACATTCTTGTGATGTAAGCGCTTACCTCGACATTCTTATGATGTAAGCGCTTACATCGATATTCTTATGATGTAAGCGCTTACATCGACATTCTTATGATGTAAGCACTTACCTCGACAGGGCATTCAAATGCCTATAAATAAGGGTCTACATTTTCATTTGTAGATCATCCCAAAACTTCTTCTTTCTCTCTTCAATTAATAAAGAGCTATTCTTTGTGTGGCCGTGGAGTAGGCAAAAATTGCCGAACCACGTAAATCTTGTTTTGTCTTGTCTTGTGCAATTCATTGCTTTTCTCTCTTAAATATCCTTTTCCTTCTATTATCTTGACACGCTTCCCAACAACTGGTATCAGAGCAGAAACAGTGTATTTCTGGTAGAAAAGCACAGTATTGGTGCAGGTATTATTCACAAAAATAGTGCCACACTATTGATCATCGTTACTATTCACAAGCATTATTCACATAAATTATTTTTTATGATAAATGGCATCGGAAGAAGGGAAGGTTAAGATTGACAAGTTTAATGGTAAAGATTTTGGATTCTGGAAAATGCACATAGAGGATTATTTTACCAGAAAAAATTACACTTACCTCTGACCAAGGTGAAACCGGAGACTATGTCCAAAGCGGATTGGGATCTATTAGATCGCCAAGCTCTTGGTGTGATTCGTTTGACGCTAACACGAAATGTGGCGTTTAACATCATTAACGAGAAGACCACTGTAGGCCTGATGAAGGCGTTATCAAATATGTACGAGAAGCCATCTACTTCAAATAAAGTCTATTTGATGCGTCGATTGTTCAACTTAAAGATGACAGAAGGTGGATCAGTCACAGAACATATCAATGAGTTTAATATAATATTAACTCAGTTAAGTTCTGTTAATATAACAATTGATGATGAAATTAGGACGTTGATTCTACTATCATCTCTACTGGAGAGTTGGTCTGCAACAGTAACTGCAATTACCAGTTCATCAGGAAGTACCAAACTCAAATTGAATGATATTAGAGACTTGGTTCTAAGCGAAGATATTCGCCGAAGAGAATCAAGTGATTCCCCAGGATCTGCTTTTAGTACCGAAAGCAGGGGGAGAATCAACCAAAGAGGACAGATTTATGGTCGTGGCAGATCAAAGTCAAGGAGAAGAGGACAATCCAAAAATCGCAAGGACATTACTTGTTGGAATTGCGATAAAAAGGGTCACTACAGTAGCCAGTGTAGAGAACCAAAGAAGAAGAAGGAAGAAAATTCAGCAAATGTAATTGCTGAACAAGTCGGTGATGCACTAATTTGTTGTGCAGACAGTCCAGTCGAATCTTGGATTCTGGACTCAGGTGCATCCTTTCACTCTACATCATGCAAAGAATTATTGCATAATTATATTGCTGGAAAATTTGGGAAAGTTTATCTAGCAGACGGCGAACCTCTCGACATTGCCGGAAAAGGTGAAGTTCATATAAAGACTTCACAAGGCACGCTATGGAAATTGCAAAATGTACGACATGTTCCTGGCCTTAAGAAAAATCTGATATCTATGGGTCAGATTGATGGTGAAGGATATACAACAACATTCGACAATGGATCGTGGAAGATAACCAAAGGGAATTTGGTTGTGGCACGGGGCTTCAAAAGGGGAACACTGTATGCAACTGTAATACAAAGAGATACTATCGCAACAGTTGATCATGATCGTGATACAACATTGTGGCACCGGAGGCTCAGACATATGAGTAAGAAGGGAATGAAGCTTTTGACATCCAAAGAAAAGTTGCCAAACCTAAAACATGTTGAATTAGGTTTGTGAGAAGATTGCATTTATGGGAAACAAAAGATAGTTAGTTTCTCAAAGGTGGGAAGGACGCCAAAGAAAGAGAAGCTGGAACTAGTGCATACAGATGTGTGGGGACCAGCTCCTGTAACTTCTCTAGGAGGCTCACGCTATTATGTCACCTTCATTGATGATTCCACAAGAAAAGTATGGGTTTATTTTCTAAAAAATAAATCTAATGTGTTTGTTACCTTTAAAATATGGAAAGTTGAAGTTGAAAATCAGACAAGTCTAAAGTTAAAATGTCTGAAGTATGACAATGGAGGAGAGTATGATAGCCAAGAGTTCAAAGCATTTTGCTCGGAGAATGGGATCAGAATGATCAAGACAGTTCCTGGAACACCGGAACAAAATGGCATTGCTGAGAGGATGAACAAAACCCTGAATGAACGAGCCAGAAGTATGAGAATACATTCTGGATTGCCGAAGTATTTTTGGGCTGAGGCTGTTAACACGGCAGCTTACCTCATAAATAGAGGACCCTCTGTACCGCTGAATTTTGAAATTCCTGAGGAGGTATTGACAGGAAAAGAGGTAACTCTCTCACATCTGAAATTTTTTGGTTGTGTTGCTTATGTGCAGGTAAACTCTAATAATAGAGATAAGCTTGATCCTAAAGCAAAGAAATGTTTCTTTATTGGCTATGGTGATGATAATTTTGGTTATCGGTTTTGGGATGATCAGAATAGAAAGATCCTAAGACACAGGAATGTCACATTTAATGAAAATGTGATGTACAAGGACAAGCTTGAAGTAGAACCAACCAACACCAGCAAACAGACAATGTCTGAAACAGTTGAGTTAGAAGAAATCTCAGAAAATGAAGTGGCTAGAGGGATTACAACTGATTCTGAAATTGAAGATGAAGAACCAGAAGCCGAATTTGAAGAAGAACTACAAGCCAAACCTGGATCAAAACCAGAACCGGAACCAGAGATAGAATCAAATGCAGAACCAAATCTAGAATCAGGACCTGAATCAAATTCGGATTCTGTTACTCATGAACCTACATTGAGGAGATCTAAAAGAGTCACGAATGCTCCAGATAGGTTAGCTCTCTCTCTTCACTATTTACTTCTAACTAATGCTGGAGAACCAGAGCATTTTGCTGAAGCAATGCAGGTGATATACTCTGATAAGTGGAAGCTAGCCATGAAAGAAGAGATGAATTCTCTTCAAAAGAATAAAACATGGATACTTACGGAGTTACCAAAAGGAAAGAAGACATTGCAGAACAAGTAGGTGTACAGAGTCAAGGAAGAGCATGATGGTAAGAAGAGATACAAAGCACGATTAATAGTAAAAGGCTTTCAGCAGAAGGAAGGAATTGACTACACCGAGATCTTCTCTCCTATAGTCAAATTAACTACTATCAGGTTGGTGCTAAGTATCGTAGATGCAAAAAATTTGCATTTGGAACAGCTAGTTGTTAAAACTGCTTTCTTGCATGGTGACCTTGAAGAAGACATCTACATGAAGCAACTTGAAGGTTTTCAAGTTTCTGGTAAAGAAAACCTTGTGTGTAAGTTGAAGAAGAGTTTGTATGGTTTAAAACAAGCTCCCCGACAATGGTACAAGAAATTTGACGGATTCATGCATAAAAATGGATTCACACGATGTGAGATGGACCATTGCTGCTATATCAAAAATCTTGATGAATCCTATATCATTTTACTGTTGTACGTTGATGATATGCTAATTGT